ATGAAAATTGCGTGTAAATGTTCGAATAGTTTCTTGGAAACATTTCTTTGTTTAGTTCTTGAGAATATTCTTGCTTGCATTCTTGGTATATTCATATTCTTCATAAGATATTCTACAGTAGAATATATCTTACAGATTCTTTGTTTATGAGAATTGAAAAGCAAAGAAATTGTTTCTCAATCAACTTTCTTTTTCTCCCAAAAAAAAAATTGATATGGTTTCAGGTGTGTGTGTGCAAACGGAAACAAAACTAAAAAAGAAATTTCTTGTTTCTTTCTTTTTTTTTTGCTATTTTTTCCCCATTTTGTTTTTGTCAATGGATGTAAAGAGAGAGAGGGAAACCACACCACTCGATATCCAATTTTGAATGAAAAAGAAAAAATCTTATTCTTTTTGGTTGTTGTTCCGGTTGTTCAATTTGTTTTTTGATTTTTTCTTTTTTACTAAGATTTTGTTTGCTGGTTATCATTTTGGATGATGATGAACCAAAGTTATGAAACATGAACAGCAAAGATAGAAATCGAAAAAAAAAGTTTTGATCGAACAGAATTCCATTTTGTATATTCGATTTCTATGTGTTTTCGGTCATTGTATCTGGATGATGATGATGATGATGACATATCTGGACAAAGTTAAAGATAAAATGTTTGAATGAATGAATGAATGATTATATGAACAACAACAAGAAGTACAACCAATGTTTGTTTGTTTGTAGTGTGTGGAAAAATGAAAAAATGTAATATTCATTTCCATTATCATCATCATTGATATCAAGGAAAATTTGATGATGTTCTCTCTCTCTCTCTCTCTCTCTCTCTCTCTCTCTCTCTCTCTCTCTGGTTTTGATCAATTTTCTCTTCATTCATTCATTCGTTTGTTTTGTCATTTTGTTTCCTGTATATAACCGCAAATATAGAATAAATAAAGTGGGAAAAAAACAACAACAGCAACGAAAAACATGAAAATTCAAACAAAACAAACATTACGATGGATGATAAACGAGAGAGAAAACAACAACAACAACAACATTATTTTATTCTTGGTTGTTTTTTTTCGGTTGCTTGCTTTATATTCATCATCATCATCATCATTTTCAAAATCATTGATTGAAATTCATTGGCTTTGTTTGTTTGTTTGTTAGTTAGTTTTTCGTCAATTTATTTTTAACATTCTCTCTCTCTCTCTCTCTCTCTCTCTCTCTCTCTCTCTCTCAGTCTGTCTATTTTCATTGTCGCACATCATTTTTGGTTTT